GGATGCATTTTCCACTGTAAATTTCAAAGCAAATTTGATAAATGCTCAAAGGAAACATCTGCTCTGGAGAGAGATACTTGGAAAACTCATTCAAGACACAATGGATCAAATAATCTCTTGTTGGTGTTTAACTTTGCTATAAAAAAGCTGTAAGTAAACTTGTTTTTGAATTGAACAAATGAAGGAAACATTTATTCTATCCATTGAATGCAAGCTTACAGCCTACTGTTTATTCAAAATATTTGATGTTACTTTCCTTAATTCAAAGCAATAGTTTAGTGCTAAGAACAACTGAATCATCCAATTACTCAACATGTTTACAGTAACACCAACAAGCCACAAGGCTTGAAACCTGGGAGTTCGTTCAGTTCTGCACATGTTCACAAACTCCTACAATGAAAACTCAAAGTGCATGCTTAATTATTTGCAATGCCATCCTTAACCAAATTATGGAATTACAAAGTGATAATTTATGTATTAATCAATATTACAATTTACTTCATTCCCCCCTTTGTGTTTCAACCTACTTTTCTCCAACTTCTGAGTTACACATGTGAATTAAGTCAGATTCTTCAATGGCTGGTTATGAATAAAAATAGGAATTAACATACCATTTTTAACTTAAAATGTTTCAAGTGTCCCAAGGTCTCTCGAGGAGGAGACCAAACGTTTAAGGGTTTGAGGACCACGGTAAATTAGAGGACAGACAGAGGTAATTCCAGTTTCATGGAATCATAGATCCACTCCAGTGCAGAGAGTCCATTCAGCCCATTGAGTCTCACCAACTCTCTGAAGAACATCCCACCCAGAATCACATCCCCCGCCCTATCCCCATATCCTGCATTTACCTTGGACCAGGGTTTGATTCCAGCCTTGGATGACCGTGTGGAGCTTGCATGTTCTCCCCATGTCTGCATGGGTTTTCTCCGGGTGCTCTGGTTTCCTCCCACAGTCCAAAGATGTGCAGGCTAGGTAGATTAACCATGCTAAATTGCCCATAGTGTCTACAGACATGTAGGCTAGGTAAATTAGGGGAGTTACAGGGATAGAGGAGCTAGGTCTGGGTGGGATGCTCTTTGGAGGGTTGGTGCAGACTCGATGGGCCAAATGGACTCTTTCTGCCCTATAGGGGTTCTATGATTCCAAGTGAAGCATTACAGCATAGTAACATAAAATTAACTTCATTTTTTTTGAAAGAAATCTTTATAACCCCCAGGCCAAGCAGTGGATAAGAAACATGCAAGATCCTGAATGCTGTCAACAAGTTGAATGGAGGATGTTTGCTTTTAATGAGTCAGTATACAAGGAGGCACTGTTTTAAAATTAAAACTCACCTTTCAGGAAAGGGGTTGTGGATTTTTTCCACCCCACTGATGGATGTGAGACTTTGGAACTCTCCCTCTGGACATTGAATGTTCGTAGACAGAGGTAGATAGATTTTTAAGCCAGGGAATCAAAAGTTATTGGGAATAAATGGGAATGTGGAATTTGAAACACACATGTTATTGAACGGCAGAGCAAGCTCAAGGGGCCATATGGCTTCTTTCCATTCCTTGTTCATAATGATGCACAGGACATACACTCAACTACTAGGAACAGGAGTAGGCTATTCAGCCCCTTGAGCCTGTTCCACCATTCAATGAGATTATAGCTCATCTGTGGCCTAACTCTTATCTACCTGTCTTTGAGCCATATCCCCTAATACTGTTGCTTAACAATAATGTATTTAACTCAGATTTAGAATTAACTGATCCAGCATCCACTGCAGTTTGTGGAAGAGAGCTCCAAACAACTACCACCCTGTGCATGTATAAGTGTTTCCTAACATCTCTCCTGAATAGTCTGGCACTAATTTGCACACTATACCCCGAGCTATAAACTCCCCAACCAATGGAATTAGCTTATCTTTATCTACCCCATCTTTCTTGTTAACATCTTGAAAGGTTTGATCAGATCACCCCCTAATAGGAAATACAAGATAAAAACATGAAGTTAATATATTTAGAAATGTGATGAAAGGTAATTGATCTGAAACAATGACTGCTGGTCTCTGGATATACGGCCTGAACTGTTAAGTATTCTGAACACTTTTACCTCAGATTTCAATAATCTACTGGGAATATGCTTTCATATTAACAGGAATTATTTACATTAATAACATGGTCTGTGTGTGTATATGTGGGCAGGGAGGGTGAGAAGAAACAGACAGAGGGGGTAGGGTGTCCATTTGAAGCTGTACTACTAGGCACAATTAGCTGAGGGTTGGTAAAACGTATTCCAACGAACAATATGCTACCTGACAGCACAAAAATATAATGCCAAAGCAACAAACATGAACTATTAATTTAGTAATTCTAGAGATTAATTTACCTAAAACACAAGTCAGCCCATAAATGTACAGGCAAAAAGATGGGAAGTTCCCACCTTTAATTGTGCTAGAGACATTCTATAGCTCCCTGCAGACAAAATCTCTCCAAAAATCTATAAGTAATACCACCCATCTAACTGTTCATATGGTAGATATACTTTTCCAGCAAAAGAAGAGTCTTATTTTTGAATCATATTACATGGTGGTAGTGGCACTGGACTAATAATCCAAAACTCCAGGCTGACATTCTGGGGAACTGGGTTTTAATCCCACCATGGTAGATGGTGGGATATGAATTCGGTAAACAAACAAAAAGGGAAAACAAGACTAGTTTCATACCCACTATTGTAAAAAAATCCATCCGGTTCACTGATGCCCTTTAGGGAAGGAAATCTGCCACCCATACTCTGTCTGGTCTTCATGTGACCCCATAAGCACAACAACGTGGCTGACTCCTAAAATATCTTCTCAGCAATAATTACTGGCCAGCCAGCCATATCTTATGGGAGTCAAAAAAGGACAAGTCTTAAGAGCCTGTGGAGTTGGAGGTAGTATATTGGAGTGGATAGAAATGAACTAATGGGCAAAAAACTACAAATGGGAGCAAAGGTTCTTTCTTAGGTTGGCAATGTTATACAGTAGGACTCCACATTGTTCAGCGCTGGGGCCACCACTGTTTGCAATGTATTTTAATTACTTGGAGGAAGGAAGAGAATGTACTGTGGCCAAATTTTCAGATGATACAAAAACAGGTGGAAAGGCAAGTTGGAAGGGATATACAGTTTACAGAGAAGTGGGCAAATAGAATATATTTGAGAAAATGCGAAGTTGTTCATTTTGGAAGGGCAAACAACAGAGTATAATTTAAATGGAAAAATTTACAGGAAGCTGCAACACAAATAGGGTTCAGGGTACTTGTGACAAATACAAAAGCTAACACATAGGTGCAACAGGAAGAGTCAGGAAGGCTAATGGAACGTAGGCCTTTATTTCAAGAGGATTAAGAGTATAACGGGAAGGAAGTTTTATTGCAACTGTACAAGGTGCTAGTAAAACTACATTTGAAGTACTGAGGGCAGTTTTGGTCCACTTATTTAAGGAAATATTTCATTGGAGGCAGTTCAGAGAAGGCTCACTAGGATGATCCCCAGTATACAGGGATTGTCTTATAAACAAAAGCTAAACAGGTTGGGACAGTACTTACTGCAGTTTAAGAATGACAGGTGATCTCATTGAGACATACAGGATTCTCAAGGAGCTTGACAGGGTAAATGCAGAGAGGATGCTAACCCTCATGGCAGAATCTAGGACCAGAAGGTAGTCTCAGAATGAAGGGGCCCCAACTTAAGGCTGAGATGAAGAGGAGTTTCTTCTCTTAGAGGGTTGAGTGCCTTTGGAACAATTTGCCACAGAGTTGTGGAGGCAGAGTCCTTGTGTATATTTAAGGCTGACACGGATAGATTCTTAATAAGTAGGGGAATCAAGGGTTAAAGGCAAAACACAGGAAAGTGAACACGAGGAATGTCTGATCAGTCACGATCCTTTGAATGGCTTAGCAGGCTCCGAGGCTGACCAATCTACACCTGCCTATATTTCTTATGATGCCATAGAATGAATATAAAATGTCTCTGCTCCAGGAAAGGACATACAGGAAGTCAAACACAAGGACACAAATGTTAATGTAAGAGATTTACAAGATTTAACGAGTGAACATGTAAATAAGCACAAGGATGATGAGGACTTGCTATTGGTTAGGATTAGTGGTAAGAATTTTGGATGAGTTAGAGTTTATGAAGTGCCGTAAGAGGGCAGCCTGAAATTGTTCAGATTGGAGTTAACAAAACTCCGAGGACATTGACAGGAAAAGGCCTGGGGCAAGTACAAACACATTGTACTAGGGCTGCAAGTGATTCCTCTCCAAATACAAGATCAGTTGCAAACTGGTCTGTTGAATTCTGAGTCAGCAGCAAGGTAGAGGATGAAATGAATTGCTTGGGAGTAAGAATTGAAGACATTTAATTGGATAAATTCAATAAGTACACATGCGGAACCTGACATGCTACTGATGCGAAGTGACAGCATAGGGGTCATCAATAGACAGACAGGGTCTCCAGAGGTGACTGGAACAGGAAGAGAAACTGCAAGAATTACCTGACATCAATAAGAAGGAAACCTACTGCATGGAGATTAGATATAATTGCTCCCTTTTAAGAAAAATAAAGCTGCTGTGAATCACAACACAAAACAGGCTGTAATACCTATATGTTGGATGGATACAGAAAGCAGTTGTTTTTAAATAGGAGAAAAGCATCAGTCTGATCAGCATGTCTAACTGGCGACCGTTCTCGGGCCACAAACATAATTCATAAACCAGTGGACCATTTTTTGGTAGTGTATTCGAAGCAAACTCTTGGGCTTGGCTTAAAACTCAGCCAAAACTGATAAGATCAAGACAAAATGTTAGTGGCTGCAAAAGCCCTGTGCAAAAATTAGTTTATGTTGACAGTTAAATTTCTATCCATCATTAACTCTGCATGTTAATAGATGTGCCCACTGTGAACTGTCATGTCAAAGTACTCACGTTCAGCAGAATATGCATTCTCTCCAAAATAACATCAAGTGAAAGATTTGCTTTAAGGTTGTAAGTCAGTATTCATTATGCCCACCCTTACAAGTTCATATCCAAGCATGTAGATTCTGTACACATAGAAACAAGAGACGAGAACTTTTTTTATACAATTTATTTGGGGGAGAAATAATTACAGGTGATGATCCATGGATAACTTAGCCTGTTAAAAAACAAAAAGGGAAAAAATAAGTTTAAGTCTGCATCTTTACACCATCCATTACATTGCTGTCTAGTCAAGGATTAAATCCTTACAAAGAATCTGAATCAATTTAAAAATCTCAACTGAAGATTAAAAGAAGCAAATAAATACAAGGTAACAAGAAGCTATATACTTCTGTCTGAGCAGTAGTTATTCTTATACACACAAGTTTCGCATCATAAAATCAAGGGCAAGTATATAATCAATTACTCACATTTCAAGGAACCTTCAATGTCTTTCCCATGTTACTGTGGCAAACAAAATAAAGCAGAACAAAATTAGCCAATTCACAAAAATGTTATGTCAAGTTTCTTTAATAAAAATAATTTGGTAGCAAAGCCCTAGGATATCTATTCATAACCTAAGAATTTTCTCATATTGCTGCTGAGAGGTGATGCACACGGCCAATGCAAATGTGCTATTCATAGAAAAAGAGATTAGTCGGAAGTCAAAGAGACAGAGTGACCAGAAAGCTTTGTGAACTCCCAACAACTAATTCCCAATAAGCAAAACTTTCTTTAGACCTGATAATATCTCCAACAATTTTGATTCCATGTTCAACATTTCCATTTTTGCGTGTGTATTACATTTCAGCCTTCAGTTCACTCTCACTTTGGGCTCCGATTAGTACAAAAACATCCGATTAAGATTCAATCCTCTTCAGGACAAGAGGAGATGTAGATCAAGAATTTTCTCAACATAAAAATAAACTAACTTGAAGATAAGCAATGGCAGGAATCAAATTTAAATCACAAAACTCTCAATAAGATCTGATGCAGTATGTCACATTCCAAATAACGTGAAAGTGTCCTATTCAAAACTAGCAATTGCAGTCACGTATTTGATAAATGTGGGCACCGAAAAATTCACAGCACCAATCAGCTTTAAAATAATTTTAAAAGACACTGCTGAAACACAACGACTGTGCAAGCATAAGCAGCAAAATGCAGAGTGACAATTAAGGTACCTCAATGATCAAGACAATGCTACATTTCAAGAGACAAAAGCTGTTGCACTCCACAGGAATTTGATTTTCTGTGCTTCATTTAAACCAAGTTTAGAAATACAACCGAACTATTGCCAGCTTCTACATACAAGCCAGTAAAAAAAAGCCAGAATGCCCTTCATGTGACAGAAAAGCAAAGGATTCAAAATCTTTAATTTGATTTCACACCAAATTCAGATTTAACACACATCGCTGATAAACCATGCACTATATCTAGGTCTCAAAATGCTGCTACTATACTGTTACAAATAGTGTAGTTTACTACAAACAAATCATGTATCACGTCTAATGTTACCACGGGGTCCTATGCTTAATCATTAATCATGACAGCCACTCCCTCTCCTCTTACACACCCAATATAAATGTTGAGGTGATTCGATATGTCAGAAATGAGTGTGCACAGGAATTTTAGCTCTTTTCCAATACCTTTTTATCCTATTTCCCTCCTTCATGTTGCATAATCAGAGTTAATGCTTTTTTTTCCTGATTATTACTTTTAACAGTTGAAACCACAGTTGTTACGGACCTCACTGAATTATTTGCATACTTATCTGAAGATCAATTCAGCTTCAGTGACTAACTCAAAATGTTCAACACTTTTTAAATTGTAAAGGTGGTGTACCACTTGAGTGACCAGCAGATGGAGCACATATCCATTTTTAGAAAAAAATTGTAAAATGAGTAAACGGTATTCAAAACTAGCTGGCAACTCACTACACATAACATGCCTACAGCATTCTACTTACTCTACTTAGTATGAATTTTATATGTACCTCCAATTATAAGATCACACCAGTAGTTCCTCCCATCAGTGCAAGGTCAACACTTATTTTTCCAGACTTTTAGACAAACACTTTACTCTCTTGGTGACTTCAGATAAAGCAATGTAACTTTATAGGCTCAAGTGAAGGCATTCAAATCAGTGAAATATCAATTTACCTTAGTTCAGTGGGGGAAATCTATCCACAGATTCACTTTCAATTTGCTAAAGAGCTGGATATGTTTTGCTTTCCTATAATGTAATTGTTGTTATACCAAAATATGGGCTTCCTTTTGTCTTTACTAATGAGTAACAGTCAGTACTTTTTCCTTAAGTAGTCAAATTGACTTATTTTAGGTTTCCAGCATCTACATTTTTGCTTTTCAATCATATTTAGTGTTTTGTTGACAGGCATGAGAAAACTTATGCAACTATGACAAGAAAATTTGAAATACCCTGATTTGATCATAAAGCAGCACCAGATTTATATGAAATATTGCAAACATGCAGAGCTTTAATCAGGTGAACATCAAGCAGGACAGTGCAAATTTTGATGGCATGCAGTTTATATCAGCACACATGCTTGGAATCCAGTACCTGTCAATGACGCTTCATTTCTGAAGGACATAATCCACAAGAATAACAAGAAAGGCAAAACAAAGTTATTGACTGATTGCAGTTAAGAAACAAATCAGACAATGAACTTAATGGTTATTAGAAACCAGCGAGAAAAAACACAAACAGTGGGGAATTATAAATTAAACTGACAATTCAACTTCTAACTACTTTTTGGTTCGAAGGGTTACAGCAAACACTCAAAAACATATAGCTTGCTTGTGAATTTTTTTGTTTGGCTGACAGAACTAGAACTTAATTCAGAGGTCTCCAATCTTTTGGAAACTAGTGCCAGAAACAGACATCAAAGTCAGTGAACTGGCAGCATTTAACAGCATGAAGTGAAAATGAGATAAGAGGAGCCTCTATATACACAAGTTCTGTCTACTTACGAGGCCTGGAAACTTCAACTTTTATACTGCTGGATTCAAAAGATTATTTAAACCTGTGAGCAATCTGTTCCAGTCCACATGTAGAAAACTTAAAGCTCAAGCTAACTGAGGCAGGCCTCAAGCTAACTGATAACATGGTTATCTTGAAGGTTTTTTGACAAGTTCATTAATATTAAACATGCTATGTTAATGTGGAGAGTGGGAGAAATGGCATTTTTAACTAAATGCCATGATACAACCATCAACTATAAATATATTTATATTTGTGATTCAGTAAAGCTATTTGGAAAGCCAAGCTTATTAGTAAACTAACACTAGAACACTTACACACAAAATTAGTATGAATTACCTTCTATACTCCAGAAGAAAAAAAAAGACAGCACACATGAATGAAAAAGAAGATAAAACTGAAAAGTGACGCTCTCAAGTGGAAAGCTGAACAGAAAATAATCACAAGACACAAAAGCACTTTTTTTTTGAGGAAAGGTTTCATACCTTTTTGCCAGTACCAACATTAGCTTTAGCTGTGCCCCGAACTTTTTTCATTCTGTTCTTGCGCTCTTTTCGTTGTTTCCTGGAAACCTTCTTTCTTTCCAACAGACCATGCTAAAAACACAACAGGCACAAGTCAGCAAACCTGAAGCTGAGTAAGCAATAACACCCACTGAGGCATCACAGATTGTATTCTTACCCTGGCCAGCCTGTGTTTAGGTTCATTCTTCTTAGCATAATCTAAGGAATCGTAGACCATGGCAAAACCTGTTGTCTTACCACCACCAAATTGTGTCCTGAAGCCAAAAACAAACACGACATCTGGTGTCGTTTTGTACATTTTTGCTAGTTTTTCTCTAATTTCTGTCTTAGGAACTGTGGGTTTGCCAGGATGGAGAACATCGACAACCTAGGTTAGAAAAAGATGATGAGTGATCCATTCCATAAATCAGAAAATATAATGAGATCAGTACAAAAGGGCAATAGGCACATGATGCTGTACTAAAGGCACTGTCATGGTCAGAAAGCACTTGGCTCTCAATTTTCAACAAACTATCAATATTAGGAAACGCACGAGGAATAAACGCAACATGAGGAAGCTACAAGGTAATTTCAAGCCAGACTACTCTGCTACAATGTTAATGCAAGGGCATTTTTGCATGTTTCAGGGACAGCTGTCAAAAATCAGAAAATACCAAATAGAATACAAGTTAGTGATCTGTCTCAAATTCCACCCCCCCTCCCCCAATGACTTCTCACTCTCAAAAACTCTGGCTCAAACTTAAGATAGGGTCCCCAATCTTAAGCTTTCCTAATGACTGGATATTGATAACCACCCAATATGTTGCCCTTAAGAGCGTGAAAATCCTCAATCAAATCAGGCCTTAGTCCATCTAAACTCTTGGGAGTACTTTCGCAAGTGTTCAAGTATTATTCAAGTCAATCCATGCTGCAATCTCTTCAAGGCAAATAAAACTTTCCAGGTATAACCTGGAACTGCTCTCATTACTCTATATGGGATCCGAGGTAGGGTCACTGATCCTGAAACGTTAACTCTGTTTTCTCCTTCACAGATGCTGCCAGACGTGCTGAGATTTTCCATCAACTTTGCTTTTGTTTGTGATCTAACTAGGGTTTTGCATAACTAAAGCACTGTTTTTGTTATCTGGATATCAAGATGAATATATATTTAGTCTTTTTGGATACTTTTTGATTTTGTTTATAACTTTTTAAATAATCTACATTCCAAGTATCTTTGGATTTTCACCCGGTTTCCAGCTCATCACTATTTTGACCTGGGTATCTATTTCAGGATGAAATCACATTTGCCAAGGCTTTGCTCCTTCACTTAATCCATTAACATCTCTTCGCAATTTTACGCTGCTATTGACTGTTTACACATTAAACAAAACAAATGCTAAACACGCACATCCAGGGCTGACCACTGCAGCAGTTTGTCAAATTGCAAATAATTACTTTAGATAAGGGGTATAAAAGATGATTGCTAATCATCTCAAGAGGACTGCACGAACTCTGAAGATTTCACGCAGACCAGCAAACTGAACTTTTCACTATGTACTGCAAAATTACAGCTATTCTCAGGCTCCCATAAATACAAGTAAATTTTATTTCAATAACTTTGATTTTTTTTCATTTTTTGTTAAATAGGGAAACTCATGCGACAACCACTACCCTGTTTAGCAAGAGTAGGCAACGGGATACAGCAGGAAGCATTGATTTAGGTGACATAAAGAGTATTTTTTTCTTCAAATATTGAAGACTGCAAGGAAAATAAAAGGAAAAAAAGTTTTATGAAAGGAACGAGCTCCACTTAAGACTTCGGTATTTAAAAAGTCAAAGAAAGGTCAGGACGAACAATCACAATTTCAACAAGTGCAGACTGAATTGGGAGAAAACACAAGACCACACATTTGCAATTTTGGAAAAACGAAAACTAACTAGACAAAAATCGGCAACAATAATAGTGTAAGTGTGCGCAAGAAAGAAAATAATGATTACTTATCAGATGAGTTTTTTTTAAACATTCGTATAGAAATAAAGTACATATAGTACAATAGAAATAGCAAAGTATTTCAACTCACCATTTGCTTGCGTTGAAGCAAGCGATTTGTCATGAACTTTCTGGTTCTGATGGTCACGGTGTCATTCTGCATGTAGAAATAGTAAATATTTAGATGTAGACATAATGAACAATAACAAGTACACCAATGAATTAGCAAGATCATGCATTTAGCTATGGTTCAGTGGGTACCACTATCGCCTCAATCCTAAGGTCAACGATTCAACCTCCACTCCAGAAACTTGAGCACATAGTTGGAGCTTGACACTCCAGGGTACAACTGAGGACACGTAGCACTGTCAGAGACGTCTAGCGCTTCGACTGTAAGTAGAAGATGTTATGAGACTATTTAGAAGAATAGGAGAATTCTCCTTTGGTTCTGAGCACTGTGTATCCCTCGACTAGAACCACTGTGACAGAATATCTGGCATGTATTGCACTCTGTTCATGGGACCACAACATGTGCAAATTGACTATCACAGTTTCTTCTGCATGACAATAGTGAGTGCTATTATGGGTAGGCAATGGCCTAGTGGGTATTATTGCTAGACTATTAATCCCGAGATACGGGTAATGTTCTAGGGACCAGGATTCAAATCCCGCAGATGGTGGAATTTGACTTCAATAATAATCTAGAATTAAGAATCTAATGATGGCCATTGCCGATTGTCAGGAAAAAAACCCATCTGGTTCACTAATGTCTTTTAGGGAAGGAAATCTGCCATCCTTACCTGGTCTAGCCTACATGTGACTCCAGGCCCACAACACTGTGGTTGACTCTTAACTGCCATCCGGGCAATTGGGGATAGGCAATAAATGCTATTCCAGTCAGTGATGCCCACATGCCGTGAATGAATAAAAAAAAGCTTAAAGTCCAAAGCACTTTAAAGCAAACATCATGAAAGGTAATCTTTATTGACAGGCTGTACAAAACAAAGGCAAAACAACATTAATTTGCCTTCAACTGGAAACCTCTAATTTGACTCTGCAAGAGAAGTCAGAACATTTCCTAAGTGAGCTCCTGACTTGAACCACATACCCTTTCACCTAAACATATCCCTCTTTAGGCTTCTAGGTCAGGGAAAACCTCAATCACAAGTCTTATGGCACAAAAGGAAGCTGTTCAGCCATTGTGCCTGCAACAACTCGTTAAATAAGTTTAATTACCTCGTGCCAATCTCCAGCTTTCTCCCCATACCCTTGCAGTTTATTTTTATCCAAATGAGTGCCCAATATTCACCAAAATACCTTAATTGAACCTACTTCCACCACACTTCCGGGCAGAGCATTTAATTCCATAATTAATCCAAATGAAAATGGTTCACCTTTGCTTCTTTTGCAAATTAAAATCTATACCTTGTCCCTTTTACAGGAAACAGTTTCTCCCTATCTACTAGATGCAGCCCATTCAATTTTGTAAACATCTATCAGACCTCCTCTCAACTGCTTTCTCTCCAAGAACACACCCAACTTCTTTAATCTATCCTCCATTCTCATCCCAGGAACCATTGTTATAAACTGCTTCTGCACTCTCACAAATGATCACATCTTTGCATGGAACACAAATGTACACAATACTCCAGCTGATGTCTAACAAGTGTCATATACAAGTTCAACATCACCCTTGCTCTTGTACTCTATATACTTATTAATAAAGCAGAGGATACAGCATACATTCCAAAATGCTCCCTCCACCTGCCCTGCCACCAATGACCTATGCACATACACACCCAGGTCCCTCTGCACCTGCAACCTGATTAGAATCATACTTCTTATTTTACATTGCCTTTCAAAACTGTTCCTACCAAAATGCATCACCTCACATTTCACAGAATCATAGACTCCCAACAGTGTGGAAACAGGCCCTTCGGCCCAACAAGTCCACACCAACCCTCAGAGTCACCCAGATCCATCTCCCTATAACCCACCTAATCTACACATCCCTGAACACTACGGGCAATTTAGCATGACCAATCCATCTAGCCTGCACATCTTTGGACTGAGGGAGGAAACCGGAGCACCCGGAGGAAACCCACGCAGACACAGGGAGAATGTGCAAACTCCACACAGACAGTCGTCCAAGGGTGGAGTCAAACCCGGGTCCCTGGCGCTGTGAGGCAGCAGTGTTAACCACTGAGCCACCGTGCCGCCCATGAAACTCATCTACCATCTATTTGACCATTATACCAACCATAACACTACACGACGTAAGAGCCAATCAAGTCTGCTCCACCATTCAATGAAGATTATTGCTGATCTGATAATCCTCAACTCCCCTTTCCTCTGTAACTTCTGGTTCCCTTTCTCTTCTCCAAAATTCCACAATCTACAAGCACTCTGGTTCACCTCTCATTTTTTCTAACCTCCCCCTTCCCACATCTTGGTCCGAAACCCATGACAGCAGCCCTCAGCCACATTTTCTGTAAGTCCTCCCCCATTTTATGTGCTAAAACTTATTTTAATCAGGAAACCCAACCCTTAACATTATCACTCCCTGTGCATTCACGAACCACGGCGTTTTTATTAGATCCACGTAGATGGCATTGATGTTATTTTCCAATTGGGTACTAAAGCAAGTGCTCCTTCGAGATTGGAACGCCATTTACTTTTACTGTAACCAAAAGTCTCTGAAGTTCTACTCTCGAATTACTTAAAATCAAAATAAACGTTGGCAGTATAGCTGCATAATTAATAATTAAATCCCATTCCAAACGAGGATTGCTGCATGTTTACCAGCTCATATTTTAACACGTTACATATCTTGTTTTTAACTCTTAGAAGTTAAACAGAGTTCTCATTTTCTCTGCTACCAGCGGAGCTGATACATTCAACCACAACTATCAAAGTCCGGGTCACATTTCTTGCCTCGTCAATACCTAAAAGCCAACCTCTGGATCAGGCAACTACAATTTGAAACCGAGCGGCGAAAAGGTGGAGCGAATTCCTGCCGTTGGGATGAAGCAGGCCCGTGGCTGCTGGTGACCCCTTTCGGAGTTTATGGGCTATTTGGTAACATGAATAGACAAGATACAGAGACAGTAAGACGCCAAAACATTCAGAAAACTCTTGGGACAGACATCCACCCCAGGTCTGAGGACAGATGGCCACGGATGGCGGTGATTTTGAACGGATTCATTGACTCTCCACTCACCATCTCGGCTGACGCCTTGGTGCACGGCTCGGAAAAGGAACTAGGACCCCACGCCTGTCAATCATATGCCCTCGTGAAGGCCGCGCAACTGCCTGATTGGAAACATTGATTTTCTACACATTCCTGTGACAGCGTTTATTTTTAAATTTTAAAACGCATAGCCATTGCAGAAAGTGCAAATATTTTTTTTCTTCAATTTTTCACTGTGTGCTTTCACTATCGGTTCATAAAGTGCTGGAAGAGGCCATTCTGCCCATTGTATCTGTGCCAGTTCATTGACAGAGCTACAGGTATTCCAATTACTCCCACTCTCCAGCTCTCTCCTGATAGCCCTGCATTACTTTTTCCTTTACAATTCTTTTTAGAGGGCTGTTTGTTGTAAATCCTTCCCAGCAAATTATAACAACTTGCAGCTTAGTAACAATTGTCTTTGTATCTCATCTGCAATACTTGATTTATGAAAGAATCTTGGTGAAATACAAAAATTAGTTCTGCAAATATCGGTGTACTGTTGTTGTGATCTGGGCAAATGAGACAACTAGTTAATGATGTATTCCCACATAGGATATGGATAAGTTGCTCTCTTTCTCCCTGACATAGTTGGGGTAAGACGTATTTTGAAGTGTTTCTGTGTTACTCTCTTTAAGAATTTTAAGGAGGCTCTCTCTCTCTCTGAATTTGTTGGGGTATTGGGGTTAGGGATTTAGGAAGGTGTCTCACATTCCTGGCAGGATTGAGCCCAGTGCAATTTCAGGATCCTATTGAGTTTTTTTTTAATCTCCCTTTTTCTTATTCCCTCCTCAGACTGTGTGACCTTGCAGACATCAAATGACATAAAGTCCTTGGTACTGTCTCTCAATACCACTGTCATGTAATGCGCCCAGTTCTCCCTCTGGGCACCTATTCCGTTTTGGACGCTCAGTGACCTCCATCGGGTGGCATGGTGGCTGAGTGATTAGCACTGCTGCCTCACAGTGCCAGGAACTGGGGTTTGATTCAACCTTCAGGTGACTATAAGTGTGGAGTTTGCACATTCTCCCTGTGTCTCCTCCGGGTGCTCCAGTTTCCCCCACAATCCAAAGATGTGCAGGTTATCTAGATTAACCATACTAAATTGCCCATTGTGTCCAGGGATGTGCAGGCTAGGTGGATTAACCATGGGAAATGCAGGGTTACAGGGATAAGGCAGGGGTCTGGGTTTGAGCGGGATACTTTTCAGAGGGTTGGTGTGGATTTGATGGGCCAAATGGCCTGCTTCCACACTGAAGGGATTCTCTGTTCCTGCAGAGGACCAACTGTTCATTCCTGTGTGGAGGATATTGTGCCTTCATTGCCACTGTGTAAGTCAGCTCACAACATTCCAGCCATTCTTCCTTGGATGCCTGTGCGAGCCCAAGTTTGAATCCTGAGTGAGCCATACTTCTGCTTCAATGCTGGAGAATTTATTGTGAGTCATTCATTTTTGATTAGGACTTTGCAGGCAGGGAGTTTGGTGGTGGAGGGGGGTGTAACACACCATGGCCAATTTTCAAGAGGAACAGAAAGAAAAAGAAAAATGAAATAGGACCTCTGCTTGCAGATGGAAGAGATCAGTGGAATATGGCAACTGAAAATGGGACCAGGCCAGCCATGCCCACGTCCCATGATGTGTATAAAAAAACAGGGAAAATACTCCCTACTGGTTGGCATTATACTTAGCATAAAGGAAGATGGTTGTGGTGGCTGAAGGTCAGTCATCTCCTTCACAGTACACCATGACAAAGAGTTCCTCATAGTAGTGTCTAGGCACAACAATCTTCAGCTGTTTCATTTCAGCAGTTCCCAAATCCACATTCTTGGACAGATGTGATTGCACTGGAGAAAATGCAGAGGAGATTTATCAGGGCATTTTTTTTTGGAGCAGAGAAGACTAAAGGAGGAGATTGAGATGTATAATATTTTGAATGGCATAGAAACGGTAGACAGGATGGAACTTTTCCCCTTGGTGGAGGGATCAATGATCAAGGGGACATAGATTTAAGTTAAGGGGCAGGAAGTTTAGAGGGGATTTTCATCCAGAGGATGGTGGGAATCTGGAACACACTGCCTGTAAGGGTGGTAGAGATAGAACCCTCATCACATTTAAAACGTATATAGATGTGCACTTGTAATACCAATGCATACAAGACTATATGCTAAGTGCTGGGAAATGGCATTAGAATATGTTTTTTTTTGACTGGTGCAGTCTTGATGGGACAAAGGGCCTTTTTCCAATGCTGCAGACCTCTATGACTCAATTACTAAGATGTAGAGTTACTAATCAACTTGATTTCATTCAGAAAATTGCGTCATCAGGCAGTCTTGACTGAACACTGATTCTTCGGGTTGGGACCCTTCTTCAGAAATTTCTTCAGATTTTCCGAAGAAGGGTCCTGACCTGAAATGTCAACTTTTCTGCTCCTCTGATGCTGCCTGGCCTCCTGTGTTCCTCCAGCTCCACACTGTGTTATCTCTGACTCCAGCATCTGCAGTTCTTACTATCCTTGAACATTGATTCCTATGTTTCAATTGTTTCCTGTATGAACACACACTTATTCCCAATTTCAGTTTTCCAGACAAAATAGATTTACTAACATACTTCCTGATTCTGAGATAAGTATTTGACCACATATCTGCTCCATTACTAGAAGACTACTTACATCCCCAGACATCCTTTGCCTCGGCTTACTGATTGCCGAAACCCTCATTCCTGCCTTTGCTATGACTAGACTTGATTAGAATCATAGAATCCCTACACTCTGGAAACAGCCATTCAACTCACTGAGTCTGCACCAACTCTCTGAAAAGCATCCCACCCAGCCCCCTACCTTATCCCTGTAACCCTACATTTTATCATAGCTAATCCCCTAACCCGCACATCCCTAAACACTATGGGGCACTTTAGCACAGCCAATCCACCTAGCCTACACATTATTGGACTGTGGGCAGAAAATGGAGCACCTATAGGAAACCCACACAGACATAGGGAGAACATGCAAACTCCACACAGTCACCCAAGGCTGGAATCAAATTTGGGTCCCTGGCGCTGTGAGGCAGCACTGCTAACCACTGAGCCACCTTGCCATATTCCAATGTATGCTCTGCCTCATATCTTTCATCCTCTATAAGCTTGGACTCATTCAATACTCACACTAAATCTCGTTCACTCATCATTCCTTTGTGTTTATTAACCTATATTGGCTCCCAGCTGAATAATGGCTGAATATTAAACTTTTCATTCTTGTTTTCAAATGTTTCTATTGCTTTGTTTCTCACCAGCTCTGAAACGTTCTTCAGACCTACAACTTTCTGAGTATAGTAATACCAACTGCTGATTGGAAGGACATTGGGGATTGTTGTGCATGTGCATTTGGCCCGCACTTTGGCCAGTTACACACATGGAACTGCTCCAGTACCATTCTGGTTGGCAACAGGTGTTTGGATCGTGTTTAAAATATCCAGTGATATTACAACAGGTTTAATATACATATCATTTTATTTGATGTGTCCCTCTGATCTACCCAGATAGCGTAAGTGTACAATCACATTTGCACATTTTTTACATCTGATTTCTGCATCATTTTTAGTGGATATGTATTGGATTATTACTTCGTAATTATTGATTTGAACTTAAGAATGATTATGCTTTGAATAAGTCAAAATTCATCAATCATGTAATCAGTCGCAATATTATTTATATTAACAGCATTTGTTTTTACTGAATTAATGTCTTTCCTAGATCAGTACACTGTAGAAAAATAGAGTTGTTTCTTATGATTTAAAAAGGGGAACTGTTCTTACTTTGTTGACCTCAATGACACCTGGACTGGAAGCCAGGAAAACAGTTGCGTGTCTAAAATGACCAACCATGTGGAAGTTTAAGGTTTTGGATGTACAATTATCTAATAACTTAGATACGCCCTGGGGACGTGTGAACAGCCTGAGTTCTGAGAATTCTGAAGACCTTGTGAAATTTGTGATAGAGAATTAATAAAACCTTTTATCTTGGGAATATGTAAACAAGGTCTCGAAAGACAAAATAAAATCATAAATTGAGCTTAAAGGGGCATTGCGTTCAGGATTAGCTGTTGCAGCCAAATAGTTTACTCAGTCACTGAAGACAATAGAGAAGAAAGGGACATTGATAAGGTAATTGACTGTGGAGTCACTTCTCTCCGTAGAAGGTTATTTAGAAACTTGCTGATGTACCTACCGAGAGTTGTTTTATGGAGATTAATTGGGGTTACTGTCTAAAGGTATAATGAGGTTGTCTTCAGTCCTTTCTTTTATATAAATATACACAAAGTCCTCTCTTTCCTTTCAGTAACTTTTTTTTATTCATTTGTGGGATGTGGGTGTCATTGGCTGGCCAGCATTTATTGCCCATCCCTAGTTGCCCTTCAGAAGGGGTGAGCAGCCTTCCTGAACTACTGCAGTCCACCTGCCGTGGACTTTGGAATGAAAGTTAAAGCCCCCCTTAAGCTGGATCCCATCTGTTAAGGCTTTGTGCAGGGACCACAAAGAAACTCCACTTCTCAGGTTACTAAATTGATATATAATGGAATGCTCAATTGTCACTTTGAATTCCATCTCATTTAATTAAATTTTCTTAAATATTTTAGAAATCTTTTTTACATTTTATGAAAATGTGTTCCCAGACTAAATATGACAATCAATTCTGTACACTAGAATTCAAGAATCTAATTTACTGAAGTGTTCTAATTATATATCTACTTCATTTATTTAATCATCATAAGCATGATTCAGAGGGGGAACAGATTCAAGGTAAATTAGATGCAAAAACTTACCATTAAGGACTGCACTGACCTAAAAGATGTGTGACCTGAACTTTATTGTTGGTCTGCGTCAAGTCAACGTATTTGTTTTAATGTTGCCAGCTTAAATATTTGTGCATGGGTAGAAAGTGCTCCCTCTTATGATGCAGTACAAGCACAGCCTTTGGACAAAAATAATGAAGATTATTTACATTACCATGTGGAATATTTTCTGGTCTTGTTCCCAAACTATTGCAACAGCAAATGTCTGACAAGCAATATGTTGTTTGAAATAACAAGACCTATTGTAAAATATGCATATTTGGAAACTTTGCGAACATTCTACCCCCACTTGCTTACTAAGTCCAGCTATATGGAAATACAATTTACAAAAACACTCCTGTTCTTTCCTATTATTCACAGCTGCATGAAGAAAACCATATATCAGCAAATGAAGGTATAAAACTTAATTTTGTTGTTTTCCAAATATATGGATATACAAGCAGGTCCACTTATTCATCCAACATATCATTTGACAGATAGATGCTGCCGTAATACTTTTTCTGACAGTACAGAAAACATAAGAACATAAGAACTAGGAGCAGGAGTAGGCCATCTGGCCCCTCGAGCCTGCCCCGCCATTTAATAAGATCATGGCTGATCTTTTTGAGACTCAGCTCCACTTACCTGCCCACTCACCATAACCCTTAATTCCTTTACTGCTCAAAAATTTATCTAGCCTTGCCTTAAAAACATTCAGTGAGGTAGCTTCAACCGCTTCACTGGGCAGGGAATTCCACAGATTCACAACCCTTTGGGTGAAGAAGTTCCTCCTGACCTCAGTCCTACATCTGCTTCCCTTTATTTTGAGGCGATGCCCTCTAGTCCTAGTTTCACCTGCTGGCGGAAACAACCTCGCTGCCTCCACTTTATCTATTCCCTTCATAAACTTACATGTTTCTATAAGATCTCCCCTCACTCTTTTGAATTCCAATGAGTATAATCCCAGTCTACTCAGTCTCTCCTCATAATCCAACTCTCTCAACTCTGGAATCAACCGAGTGAATCTCCTCTGCACCCCCTCCAGTGCTAGTATATCTCTTCTCAAGTAAGGAGACCAAAACTGCACACAGTACTCCAGGTGTGGCCTCACCCGGACCCTATACAGCTGCAGCATAGCCTCCCTGTTTTTAAACTCCATCCATCTAGCAATGGCAGACAAAATTCCATTTGCCTTTTTAATTGCCTGCTGCACCTGCAATCCCACCTTCAGCGATTCATGCACAGGGACACCCTCTGCACAGCAGCGTGCTGCAATTTTTTAACCATTTAAAACATAGTCCATTTTGCTGTTATTCCTACCAAAATGGATGACCTCACACTTATCAACATTGTACTCCATCTGCCAGACCTTTGCCCACTCACTTAGACTATCTATATCCCTCTGCAGACTTTCAGTGTCTTCTGCACACTTTGCTCTACCACTCACCTTAGTGTCATCTGCAAATTTTGACACACCACACTTAGTCCCCAACTCCAAATCATCTATGTAAAATAAAATAAACGATTATATAGCTAATAGTTTACATTTTGTTCCAGATGTCAAATTCACAAAGATCAAACATTTAGGTTACAGCAACCAGGAGGTAAGATAAAGCAAAAACTGCAGATGCTGAAGATCTGAAAAAGGGTGAAATTGCTGGAGAAACTCGGCACGTTTGGCAGCATCTAAGAAAAAATAGTTAACGTTTCGAATCCAGTGACCCTTCTTCAGAACTGGAGGTGAGAGTAGTGCAATTCATTCAGGCCAGTCATGATGCTGAATGGAAAACTGTTCAAGCATTTGGCCCTGGCTATTTAACCACCGATCGTCAGTATTGTTGAATGATGTGGGGTGTTATAGTAAGTCTCTGTCAAACAGTGAACTTGATCAGAGACCTATCAGTTCCGGGTGTTCCCTTCACCATGGGCTGCACCCGCCCTCACGGTGACGCGCCACCGGCCTTGAAGATGGCTGGTGCATTTGGATGTCAGTTATGATGACGGTCAGACGGCCACCGCGGGACATGCCGGGACTTGTAGTCCAGCCTTCCATTTTCCCCCATTCGCTCCCGGCTCCGCTCTGCCACCGGGAAACTACAGCCGCCCGGCTGACTCGGCAGGCGGCCGGTTTGAGAGCGACAAAGGAGGCGGCGGTCGGGGACGGTGATCGAAGGCAGGATGCCGGCGAGGCGGAGGACGCGACAGGTTTAAATACGTTCCTTGACGGAGGAGGGGAAGGATAGGGGGGTGGGGGAAGGAGAGGTTTTTTTTATCGAGCTCCACAAAGACCCTCTTCTTTGTTTTCACTCCGTGACGTGGGGGGTTTGGGGGGGTGTGCTGGGGTGGGGGTGTGGGCGCTTCTCGAAAATTCCGCGGCGATCGCGAGATCTATCCCACCCCCGCCGCCATCTTAGTTATAGTGAGATCTCTGAGCGTCTCCACCCCCACTGACAGCAAAATATTCACCGTCCCCATCTCCAACCTGATTGCCTCCTATTTTTGTGCTTTTATTTCTGAAGCGTAGTGATTGAGCTGTGTTTTTTTTTAATTTTCTAAACATTATTTTACTTCTCTCCCCCTAAACAAATCAGTCATGAGCGTAGTGCCAGGCTGCGAGCCCATGAGCAAAAGACTGAGGCTGGAAGTTGCCCCCCAGCAGCTTTCCCCTTCCAGCATCTGTCGACCAGAGGAGAGAAGCACTGGCTTGCTATTTCGTAAGAAAGGTCTGTAACCAGGCAAAGCCTGCCCCTTTGTACCACACAGCAGCATTTCCAGTCTGAACTTCACCTGTGGAAACACTCCATGCCAGACTTCAATATCAACTCTGCAGTATGTTAGGTGCAAAGTTTCAAGAAAGTATACAGTTGTTTTATAGGGTTGCTATTAAGTTTGGTTGGACTTCTCCCTGGAGATTTCATCACCCTTTTGACTGCCAAAAAGCATTGTTTCCTATTTCAAGTTAGGAAAGAATAAACAAAAGTGCCCACAAAAATAAAACTCTATGGATTTTGTCCTTGGATACTGGTGCATTGTCCGGGGAGGTACATAAGAGTTCCTAGGGAGTCCCAAGACCACTGAAGGGCCATCATGTTGAATGTGGCCCAAATCAACTGATACTCAGTCAATTTTCCACATTGTTCTTGCTTTCGTCCTTTGCTTTTCTTGCCTATTTTCTCAGTAATCCACTCATTAGCATTTCCTGCACCAAGGTGACAGATTCTTTCACAAGTTAACAAATCTGTGATGTTGTTCTCTTCCTTAAGCAGAATTTTGTTTTCTGGGCATAAGTGCTGTGCTGTGAATTGAAGTCAATGCAAATTAAATTCTTTAAAGTAACTCTTAAGATATTTTAAAATAAAGAACTGCAGGTACTGGAAGCTGAAGCTGAAACAAAAACAAGTTAATGGAGAAACTCAGATATGAAGGTGTAGAGCTGGATGAACACAGCAGGCCGAGCAGGAAGGCTGACATTTCGGGCCTAGACGCCTTCCTGCTCCTCTGATGCTGCTTGGCCTGCTGTGTTCATCCAGCTCTACACCTTGTTATCTTAGATTCTCCAGCATCTGCAGTTCCTACTATATCTAATGGAGAAACTCCACAGGTTTGGCAGTATCTGTGGAGAGAAAACAACGTTAAAGTTTTAGGTGTGGTGGTGACTCTGCTTCAGAACTTCTGTTCTGAAAAAGGGTTACCAGACCCAAAATGTTAGCTCTACTTTCTGTCCACAAATGCTGCCAGACCTGCTGAGTTTCTCAAGCAATTTTTGTTTAAGTTTTCTTTTGTGTTGTATGAACCTGTGTCAGGTTCTGAAAGGATAAGTTTGTGCTCCTGGGCATGTGTTAAATTGCAGTTGAGAAAATTGAATGAGAAGGCTACAAAGTTGACTTCTGTAATTCAGGCATCATCTTTCTTCTAGTAATGATGCTTTCTGCTCTTTCTACGAGAGAACCTGGAAGTTCTCTCTGATGATGTAATTATATGAGTTGTTACTGTATATTTTGTCCTTTTGAGCACAATGAGATATCTTCAGATGAGCAACTAAATGTATACTACTTTTGAATTGTTAATGGATGAGATTTTGGTTGGTTGATTTTATTGTTACGTGTACCGAAATACAGTGAAAAGCTTTGTTTACAAGTGGTACAGGCAGATCACAACAAGCAAGGGTGTACAGATCAAAAAGAGGCATGCAGGTTACATTATTTGAGGCTAGAGTCCATTCAACAGTCTGATAATGGCCAGAATGAAGCTGCTCCTGAACCTGCTTGTGCGTGTGTTCAGGCTTCTGTATCTTCTGCCTGATGGAAGAGGTTATCGGAGGTCATTATCAGGGTGTGATGTGTCTCTGATATTGGCTGCCTTTCTTACAGCGGTGAGCCATGTAAATAGAGTCCACGGATGGAAGGTTGGTTTCCGTGATGGTCTGGGCTGTGCACACAACCTTCTGTAGTGTCTTATGGTTCTGGGCAGAGCAGTTGTCATACCAGGCCGTTATGCACCTGGACAGTATGCTATCAATAGTGCATCTGTAGGAGTTGATGAATTTACCATTTCCCAAAAAATGAGCAGAGTAGAGACATTGAATCTCAAAAATGAGGCTGCAATTTCTGTTTGATTTTATGCAATTTTATTTAGATTTATTTATTCATCAAATCAGTAATCATTCTTATTTTACATTTGATTAAAGTCACTCACTCATTTCATTAAACCTTTGCACCTTCAGGTCTTCATTCATGCATCTATGTTTGGGTTGCAGAGTGGCCATAAGAAGATATGTTGATAGTTACTTTATGAATACATAGTATAAAAAACTTTCTATATGCAATCCCATTTTTTTTAACATTTAACTCAACCTGGCATGAAAATTGAAATCTCTTTGCAAAGCATCTGGTGAATCATGCAGTATTTTAGCACTACTCACCATAGTTTGTTTTGGCTTTAAAATATATCACAAATTGCAGAAGTGTTATGTGCAGAAGGAGGCCATTCGGCTCATCGTGCCCGCCAGCTCACCAAATGAGCATTATAGTTTGTGCCTTTCTCCTGCCTTTTGCCCATACCCTTTCACATTCTTTCTGTTTAAATAATTATCCAATGTGATTTTGAATGCCTTTGTTGAACCTCCATCCCAGTTTGTTCGGGTCTGGAATGTACAGCTGGGATCCATCTTGTGAAAGCATTTTTTCCTCACCTGGTATGTGCTGCTTTTACAAATCACTTTAAATGTGTGCCCTTTCATTGATACTTTATGAACAGAAATGGTTTTTCCCTATCTAGTCTGTCCAGCTCCCTTGCGTTGTTAAAAACTTCTATCAGATCTCTTCTGTAGTTTTTCCAAGGCAAACTGCCCCAAACTCTCCAATCTATCCTCATAACTGAAGTTTGTCATTCCTGGAACCATAAAATCTTTTCTGCATTCTCTCCAATGTGTTCACATTCAATCCTACAGTGCGGCACTCTGAACTGATACAATGACAATATTCCAACTGAAGTTGACAGTTGTCTTGTGCAAGTTCAGTATCACTTACTTGCTCTTTATCTTAGTTCCAGTTAATAATTTTTGATGTTTTATTAACTATGCTTTCCACCTGTCTGGTCTCCATCAGTGAGCTATGCACATATATGCCCAGGTCCGTCTGCTCCTGCACCCACTTGTGTTGTACTCCTTACGTTATATTGTCTATTCATGTTCTTTCTTCTAAAACGCATCATTTCATACTTCTGTCCATTGAACTTCATCCGTTGGCTATCCACACACCTCCAAATTGTCTACGTTCTTTTAAATTTCTACACCATCCCCCTCTCAATTTACAATGTTAGGACCGCAACTATTCAAGTTATACATTAACGATCTGGATGAAGGCATCGTTGCTAAGTTTGCAGATGACACAAAAATAGGTGGAGATGCAATAATTTTGAGGAACTTGAGAAACTGCAGAAGGACTTGGACATATTAGCTGAGAGGCAAAGAAGTGTCATATGGAATAGCGTAAGGTTATCCATTTTGGAGGAAGAATAGAGGCATGAACTATTATCTAAGTGGGGAGGGCTTTTGAAAAGCAAAGTGACTTGGGAATCCGAGTTCAGGATTCTCTTAAGGTTAACATGCAGGTTCGGTTGGCATTTACGAAGGCAAATGCAATGTTAGCATTTGTTTCAAGAGGGCTAGAAAACAAGAGCAGAGATGTACTGCTGAAGTTGTATAAGGTTCTGGTCAGACAACATTTAAAATGTTGTGACCAGTTTTGGACCCTGTATCTGTGGAAAGATGTGCTGGCATTGGAGGTTTGCAGGAATAATCCCATAGATGAAGGGCTTGTCATATGAAGAGCATTTGAGGACTCTGGGTCTATACTTTTATGGAGTTAGGAAGGATGAGAGAGGATCTGATCAAAACTTACAGGATACTGAGAGGCCTGGAAAGAGTGAACATGGAGAAGACGTTTCCATTTATAGGAGAGACTTAGACCTGGGGCACAGCCTCAGGGTGAAGGGACGACTCTTTAGAACTGAGATGAAGAGGAATTTATTCAGCCAGAGGATGGTGACTCTGTGGATCTCATTGCAGCAGAGGACCATGGAGGCCGAGTTATTGAGTGTATTTAAGGCAGAGATACATAGGTTCTTGATTAGTAAGCTGATCAAGGGTATGGGGAAAAGGCAGGAGAATGGGGTTGAGAAACATATTAGCCATGAACAAAAGGTGGAGCAGACTAGATGGAATGAATGGATTAATTCTGCTCCTATATTCTGTGGTCTTATAGTCAATGCTTCCTAGTTCCATATTGTCTGCAAATTTTGAAATTGGCCCTTGCGCATCAAGATCATGATCCTTTAATATAAAAGGGAAAAACAAAGGTCCTAATCCCAACTAATGAGCTCTCCACTACAAATTTTCCTGCTGCTCAAAATATCAATTGACAGTTACTTTCTGTTTTCTAGTACTCGGCCAATTATTTATTCACATTGCTACTGTCCCTTTTATTCCATGAGCTGTAACTTTTATGTTAAGTCTGTTGTGTGGAATTATGTTGAACATCTTCTAGAAGTCCACGTATACTATATTAGCATCATTACTCTCATTGGCCTTTCTATTACCTATTCAAAAAACCCATATTTGTTAAAAATTATTTGCTCTTTAGAATCCATGTAGGCCCTTTCCAAATAATCCACTTTTATCCTTGTGACTACAAATTCTGTCTCAAGTAATTGCTTTTAGATGCTTCCCCATCACTAGATTTGAATTGACTGCTCTGTAATTATCAGGCTTATTGTTACAACCTTTTCTTAAGCAAGGGCGAAATGTTTGTAATTTTCCAGTTTTCTGGCACAGTCTAGGGAAGGCTGAAAGATTATGGCCAGTTCCTCTGCAATTTCTTTTTACTCAATTCCTTCAGTATCCTTCAGGATATATCTCATCTGGTCATGGTGCCTTGTCAACTTTCATTAACAATAGTCCATCAAACACTTATGCCTTATCGTTTTAAATTGTTCTTGTTCTCCCACCAACCTTTTGGTGCAGTCTATCTGGCTGAACTCTGTTCTTGTCCCATTGAAGTCCACTCTCCACCAATTGATTTTTCTTAGTCTGGATTGACCATCGTCATCGTCCACCATCATCTTAAAACTTATACAATTGTCACTCTCCTAAATGTTCCCCACTGACCTACTTGGTCTACTTAATTTCCAAGAACCAGGTCAGCAGTATATCCTTTCTTGTTGGACTATACACCTACTTCAGTAGGGAATTCTCCTGAACACAGTCCAGATACACTTGTCCCTCAGTGTCCCTTACGTGACCAGTACTCCAGTCTATTTTTGGAATTTGCCGTTATAACTGCTGTATAAAATTTGCGTCTCTTTGTAATTTCACTGCAGATTTGATCCCCTGCATCTTTCCTGTTTGTTGTTCTATAGATTGCTCTGAGTAATGGAATTGCACCCTATTGTATTCTTTAGCTCTAGCCAAACTGATTCTGTTCTTGAACCCTATAGGACAGCCACTTCCTGCAGCACACAACACTCCCCTGAATCAGTACTGCCACCCTCTTCCCTTTCTATCTTTTCTGCAGGTCTTGTATCTAAGAATATTTAACACCCAGTCTGGCCCTTCCTTGAGCCAGGTCTCTGTTACTGCTACCATATCATATCCATATGGCAATTTGCACCTGTTATTCCTCCATCTTATTCACTATATTGTGCATTCAAATCCATGCACGGTAACCCCAATTTAGACTTCATTACACAATCACCAATGTGTTACAGCTCAGACGGTGGCCATTTGGCCCATTGACCCTGTACTAGCTCCTTAAATGAGTATCGTGTGGTGCCAATCTCCTGCCTTTCCCTGTATTCTCGCACGTTATTTTTATACAAATAATCATCCAGTGCTCTCGTGAATGCCTTAATTGAACCTGACTCCTCCATACTTCCTGACAGTATATTCCATACCCTAACTACTCACTGACTGAAAAGGTTTTTCCTTATCTCACCTTTGCTTCTTTTGCCGACCATTTTTGAATGAATGCCCTCTTGTTGTTCTTCCTTTTATGAGCGAGAACAGTTTCTCCTTATCTGTTCTATCCAGGCCACTCATGATTTTGAAAGCCTCTATCACATCTCCTCTTTGCTGTCTTCTCCCGAATGCAAACAGTCTTCAGTCTAAGTTCGTAACTGAGGTTCCTTATCCCTTGAACCATTCTCATAACCTCTTGTGCAGTCTCTCTAATGCATTTACATCCTTCCTGTAATGTGGGTTGGTTAGCTCAGTTGGCTGAATGGCTGGTTTGCAATTCAGAAAGATGTCAAGAGCATGGGTTCAAATCCTATACCGACTGAAATCATCATGAAGATACCGCCTTCACGACTTTGCCTCTAACCTGAGATGTGGTGACCTTTTAGGTTAAACACTCTGCCAGTCATCTCTAGAGCAGCCATATAGTCTGCTAGGATTATGGCAACTTTACCTTTACCTGTAATATACCCAGAACTGTACACAGTTGTGTAACTGAGGTCTAACAAGTGTTTTAGGTTTGTTTTCTTTTCATCCTTATTCTGACTTTACTAATTAACTTAGCTACCTATCCATTATTTTATGAACTCTGTTATTCTTCTCTAATATTCTCTCTTGTTACCCAAACCTTTGCCAAATAAGATTAATGTTTTTCCAGAAGTACAAGCAAAACACTATGAAAGTAACTCCGTCCCGACTCTGTTCAGGTGCAATCTGTCTGGCTTTTGTAAAGGTGACATCTTCCTCAGAACCAATCCCAGATATCTAAAGCCCTATCTCCTGCACCATCTTTTCAGCCACATATTAATTTGCCCTTATTCTTCTATTTCTGTACTCGTTTGCATGTGTACACTGGGAGTAAGCTGGAGATTAGAACTTTTCAGATCCTGCTTAATAATTTTCTATCCAATTCCCTAAATGCCGATTGCAGTTCCACATTCCCCTTTCTATCTAAATCATTGGTACCCATGTGGACCGTAACCTCTAGCTGTTCACCCTTCCTGGGAAGAATGTCCTCTGGCTGCTGTGTGACATCCTTGATCTTGGTACCCGGGAGGCAACATGCCATCCTGGAATCATACCTATGGCCTCAGAAACACCTGTCTGTTCCCTTAACCAACTAATCCCCTATCACTTTTGCTCTCCTTTTGTCCGCTCCTGTACAGTTGAATTGCCATATATGCTGCTGTGACCACACCTCTTTGAGGAACTAGTGCCCTCATCAGCATCCAGAATGGCCAACTGATTTGTCAGCTGGACCCAGGGGATCTTGTGCTACCTGCCTTTTTTTTTTGCAGCAACTGGCAGTGTCTTCATGCTTCAACTGCTGTGCGACTATCTCTCTGTGCTATTTATGTAACTATCAACCTCACGGATGTGCCACATTAACTCCATCCATTGCTAAATGCTGAAATCTGGAGCTCAAGTTTTTGTAGCTGACAGCTTTTCCAGCTTGGTTGTCGAGGACACTGGTAGGGTCCATGGCTTCCCATAATACAGGCCACATATTCCATTCAACTGAGTTCCAGCAGCACATCATAACTTTACTGCTTTTATGTTCACCTTTATTATGCTTTGGATTAGTTAAATTACTTGGTCATATTGACCCTGATTTTCCTTTTATTCCTAGGATTTCTCAGTTAAATTTGAGTACACCGATTCATCGGGTCATCCAGCATGGAAACAGACCCTTCGGTCCAACTCATTATTGCGGACCAGATGTCCGAAACTGATCTAGTCCCATTTGTCAGCTTTTCGCCTAATACTGTTATCTAATTTGCAGCAATTTAAAGTCAGTCCCTTTAGCAGTTTCTTACCAACCAATTAACTTACTGAAAAAGAGTAGAAGGGGAAAATGTACTCCTCTCCACCCTTCACTAAACTCCCTACCCACCATACTTTACTACTTGCAGTAAACCTTACTTTAAGCACCTCTTTTCCCAGACAAACTCACTTGGCCTCACAGAGATTTCTGAAGAAGGGTCCCGACTCGAAACGTTAGCATTCCTGCTCCTCTGATCCTGCCTGGCCTGCTGTGTTCCTCCAGCTCCACACTGTATTATCACTTGGCCTCTGTCTTGCTCCGGTGAATTTTGCACTCTAATTGACCAAGTATCTTGATTGTGTGATGCAAGGTGTGTGAGATATAACTTTTGATGAGCTATGTAATCTATTTTAGAGTTTAGATTTTGAACTGCTGGCATATGGGTTTTTGGTCTTTGAATATAAGGACGTTTATGACCTTGTCAGTAGTTCCGGAGCCATCATTTTTTAAAAAAACTGATATGAATAACAGAATCCTTGGGTGATAGTGAGGACTTCTTTGCGTTGGGACAGAGAACAGGATAAATGTTGAAGCGTATCAGCTTGCTTTCAGTTCAACGAGTCAGAATTTGTTTTTTTCTTAGGAGAAAAGCTTGTAGCTTGGAATTTTTTCCCCAATTTGTAGGACTCCTGGTTAAAGTTGAATGTATAAAATAGTTTTTCCTAGAGAAAATAGTTTGGAAGAGTTAAGAAATAGTTACCACACATTAGGCTACTTAATTAGAGCCTTTGGTATTAGAGGTGGTATGGCTAAATAATAAAAGAAAATTGGAATAAGGTGGATGGTTTCAGGGTGACAACTTGTAACTACTGGTCTGCCACGGGAATCAGTTTTGGGGCCACAATTATTTATAATATATTAATGACGTGGATGAAAAAAGTGAATGTGGGAAGGCAAATGGTGAGGATGACACAGTCTCCAGAGGGGTATACACAAATAAAGTGTGTGGGCAAAATCATAGAATAGAATAGAATAGATAGAATGCAATGTGGGGGAATGTGAGGTTATGCAATTTGTCAGGAAGAGTAGAGGAGCTGAATAATATATAAATGGAAAGCTGCAGATTAGAGGGATTTGGGAGTCCTCGACCATGAATCACAAAAGTGCTAGCATTCAAGTTCAGCAGCTAATAAGGAAGGCAAATAGGAGGTTGGCCTCTATTGCGAATAGCATATATAAGAAGGTTTTGCAAAAACAATGCAAGGCAGTAGTCAAACCTCAGCTGGAATACTATGAACAATTTTGGCCCCCTTATCTGAAGGAATATGTACTACAGTTCATAAAAGGTTCACTAGCCTGATGCATATGGAGGGTCTATCTTATGAGGAGAGATTGAGTAGATTAGTCCTGTACTTGGAATATAGAAGAAGGAGAGGTGATGTTATGGAAACATACAAGATCCTTAGGGGACTTGATAGATGTGGAAGGGTTGTTTCCCCTTGTGAGAATCTAGAACCAGAGCCAGAATTTTCCATTAAGGAGTTGCTTGTTTAGAGTTTCGTCTCTGAGGGTAGCAAATTTGTGGAATTCTTTACCACAGACTGTTGTGACTGGGTCAGTAAATATATTCAAGGCTGTGATAAACACATTCTTTATCAGTAAGGGAATCAAGGGTTATGGGGAAAAATTGAAGATTATCAGCCATGATATCATTGAATGTACGAGCAGACTTGTTGGGCTGAAAAGCCTACTTCTGCACTTGCATCTAATGGTGTTATGGTTTTGAATGGCAAAATACAAAATGTCTGAGCATGTGATGCTTGCACAGGAGGTAATGTTTTTAAGATTTTGTTTGGAGTTTTTTTATTTAACCTATTTTTCTAATCACCTTGTTCAGAGATGTTATTACACCCCTCTGGATCAGGTAGGACTTGAACCCATGCCTCTTACAACCGATAGAAATATTGGAGGAAATTAAGTAGCAAGCACACATCAGGAATAAGGCATGAAGTAATGGATGTCAAAATGGGTTAAACAATTGGCTCCATAATACCCAAACTTGAATTTGATATGAAGTAGCTTTTAGATTTTAAAAGTTTAATCTTTGAAATTATGAATTGTGTGGTAACATATGTTTTGGTGTTTTACAGGTCAAAGGCAAAAGTGGGAGGATTTAGCAGCAGGCAAATGTAATAGTTTAAAGATGGACCATGCCAGGTATAATCCTCAATTTATAGCATTTATTACTCGTGCTATAGTAACTCCTGTTCTGCGTGAGCACCGTCATGTTCCCACAGAGTGTAGTGAACAACAAGATACATATCTTTGTGTTTGTATGTATCAGCAACTACAGGCTGCTCTCCAGTGTGCAGGATTTGCAAGCTGCGATTAATACTGAGTCACTTGATATTTTTCGCCTGATGGTAATTTCTGGTGATAATAGGTGCGAGATGAGTGCTTTGAATAAACTGCTCCACAGAAAAGATGAACATTTGCATGTTGAGAATAAAACTGAAAGAAATGAGAGCAAAAATAGTTTTGACAAATTTTTAAATGTAATGTCATTAGATTAGTAACTAGTGTTGAGATCAATATTAGGAAGAATTGTGAAATAATAAATCTCAAAGTTCTGTGAGTTAGTACCAGATAAAATGACATCAATCCTCTGCTATTTATTGATTCTAAATATCCTCAAACTAGCCGCAGATAAACTAATTGGAAGTTTATCATAATTAACAAGAGCTAGCAATCAGATTGAGGCTTTGCAACCAGAGTTTTAGTTTAAGCTTGGGGATACCCAAGGTCAAATTGAAATTCTTTTTGGTTTGTTTTCTTTGGGGTATTTGGTTTTGTATGTCTCTTTCTAAAGACCTAAAATTCAGCTCCTTTTGGAGAACATGGGATTGCAAGAAACAAACTTGGACTGAGTTATTGCTTTCTGGCTGTTGAGGATCTTGTCCAGATTTTGGGTGTGCACAGGAAAGAAAAGAAAGTATTAAAAAAAGTGGTTCACATTAACAGAACATGATTAAGTTATCGAATGCACATTTATACGTATTGAAATAGTTGTTCATTCAGCTCAATGTATTATTTTGCAGCCCTGAACAAATGCTGCAAGTCAAAGGTGGAAAATTGGAAGGAACCTCTAAAGGTGGAAATGTGGACCTACCAACAGTCCAACATATACAGCAAAGCAGTTCCGTTGATATTTCAGAAAATGAATCCAAATACAGTATATCACCAGGGTGCAGTGTGCTGGAAGAGAAAACCAGGAATCAGAAAGTGAAAAATTCCATCAGTTCAGAGGGTGAAAAATTTAAATGGACAACTAGAAGTGTGGGCAGATGCACCTCTGAGAGTGATACAGATTACCAAAAAGCACCAAGTACCAAAGTTGAAAGCTCTAGTGCTGGAGAGAATAGTAAGAGCATAACCCCGGACAAAAAAAAGTGCAAGACACTTGAGGAATGGATAATAAAACCTTCATGTGCAAAAGTAACAAAAAATACCACAGCCATTCGACCTGGTGAGGTAACAACTCTTAAAGAGGAACATCATATCGTTGACCTTAAGGTCACAAAGTCATTTGAAAATCCCGTTGACGACATGTATGTTGTTCCAGAAAGTCCGATCTCTGATTCTAGCTGTGAACAGGAGATACCAGGCACAAGTGGAACTGGAAAGCAAGATGCTGGAGAGAGAGACACAAGGATATATCTTTCTGTTAAGAAAGAGACTGAGTCTGTCTTGCCTATGCAAGTAGATACTTCAGGTAATAGTTTCTATGAATCAGAAACTGAACTTAATTGTTTATCAGCCAAAGTTTCAAAAGATTTGGATGACAATTCACTTACCCAGAAGGTTCACTGTTTTGATACTCATTCTGGTAATAAAAACATTGAAGAAATGATGGAAGTGGATAAAGGCGTAAATTACCAATGTGAAGATCCATTCGTAAAGGCACAACCAAAGGGATTTTGTGGTTTAAAGGATAGAACACAAGAAGTATTGAAGCCAGAGCAAAAAACAAACCTATCAACTGGTTCATCTTCACAGGTGGGAAATTGGAAGGGACCCCAAAAGGCATTGAGAAAAATCACGGATCATTTTGAGTACCTGGACAGGAAGTCAAACAAGTTGAACAGGTAAATTCTTTTAATTTTTCTTTATTCTGGCAGTGACTGAGACTCCAAATATTTCCGCCATGATGTAAGACCAGCAATGACAAGCTTGTCTAGTCAATTATAGAGTTACACAGCATGGAAACAGACCCTTCGTTCCAACTGGTTCATGCCAACCAGATATTCTAAACTGATCTGGACCCATTTGCCAACATTTGGCCCATATCCCTATTAAACCCTTCCTAATCATGTACCCATCGAGATGCCTTTTAAATGTTGTAATTGTATCTGCCTCCACTACCACCTCTGGCAGCTTGTTCTATACACACATCATCCTCAGTGTGAAAAAGCTGCCCCTCCGGTCCCTTTAAATCTTTCCCCTCTCGCGTTAAACCTATGCCCTCTAGTTTTGGATTCCCCTACCCTGGGAAGAAGACCTTGGTTATTAAGTCCCATCCATGCCCCTCATGATTTCATAAACTTCTAAAAGGTCACCCCTCAGCCTCTGATGTTCTAGGGAAGAAGGCCCCCCCCACATTCAGCCTCTCTCTATAGTTCACAACCTCCAGTCCTGGCAACATCATTGTAAATCTTTTCTGAACACTTTGAAGTTTCACAACATCCTTCCTCTAGCAAGGCGACCAGAATCGTACACAGTGTTCAAAAAGTGGCCTAACCAATGTCCTGTACAGCTGCAACATGATGTCCCAACTCCTGTACTCAGTGCACTGGCCAATGAAAGCAAGCGTGCCGGACGCCTCCTTCACCACCCTATCCATCTGTGACTCCACTTTCAAGGAAGTGTGGTGCAGCAAACTGACATAAATGGTTTGTATTTTCACTCTAAACTAACATAAGTAATTTCAACAAAAACTACTATAAACTTACTACAATTAACTTCATTTCTACTTGTTAGAGAATGGTAAATTTGCTAGTGTTGCTACGTGTTCACAAATGGATATCAGGGAAAGACAGACCCTGATTAGGCTGGGATTTTCCAATTGTTGGAATGGTAGATTTGAGCATAAACAATGGCCTTTAAGGCAAGGTATTGGAGAGTGAGGTGGAACTACGTTGTCATGGGGTCACTGCCTAGTAAGAGAAAAGAAATCCTGAGGGACATGATTTATGTGCATTTGGAAGGGCAAGGACTGATTAGAGAGAGTCAACGTGGCTTAGTGCATGGGAAATGGTATCTCATTAATGAGTTTGGAGAAATGACAAAGAAAATTGATGAAGGCAGAGTGGTAGATGGTGTCGATATGGACTTCAGCAAGCTGTTCAACAAAGTTCTGCATGATAGACTGGCTGGCAAGGCTAGATGACATGGATCCCAGGGGGAGCTAGTTGATTGGATACAAAATTGGCTTGAAGGTAGGAGACACGGTGGTGGTGGAAGGTTGTTATTTTTTGGATCAGAGGCCTGTGACTGGTGGTGTGCTGCCAGGATTGGTGTGAGGTCCACAGCTTTTTGCCATTTATGTAAATAATTTGGATGCAGATATAGGAGGTATGGTTACTAAGTTTGCAGATGACCTCAAAACTGACTACCGCCCAATAGCACTGACTTCAATAATCATGAAGTGCTCCGAGAGGCTGGTCAAGGCTCACATCAACTCCAGTCTTCCAACATGCCTAGATCTCCTATAGTTTGCCTACTGACATAACAGGTCCTCAGAGGATACCATATTCCTGGCCCTGCACTCCTCCTTGGAACATTTAGACAACAAAGACACCTACGACAAACTCTTGCTTGTTGACTACAGCTCCATCTTCAACACCATTATCTCCTCCAGGATCTCAAAACTGTTTCACCTTGGTCTTGGGTCCATCCTCTGCAACTGGATGCTCATCTTTCTGACCTATAGGCTGCAATCAGTGAGAATAGGTAACTGCACCTCCTCCACAATAACACTCAACACTTGAGCCTTCCAAAGATATGCCCTCAGCCCCCTACTGTACTCCCTGTATACCTACAACTGTGTTGGCAAATTGTGAACGAACGCCATCTACGAGTTTGTTGATGACACCACAGTAGTGAGATGGATATCTAACAATGATGAATCAGTGGATACAGAAGGGAGATAGAGGGCTTGGTGACATGGTGCAATGAAAACAATCTGTCTCTCAAAAGTCGGCAAAACTGAAGAACTGATCGTCAACTTCAGAAAGAAAGGAAGAGAACACGCCCCCATTTACATCAACGGAGCTGAGGCTGAGAGAGTGAAGAGTGTTAAATCCCTCAGAGTGACGGTAACCTATGACCTGTCCTGGACATTCCACGTAAATGCGACAGTCAAGAAGGCACAACAATGCCTCTTCCTCAGGCAGCACAGGAAATTTGGCATATCCATAAGGTCACTCACTAACTTCTACAGATGCACTATTGAAAGCGTACTGTCCAGGTGCATAATGGTTTGGTATGGCAACTGCTCTGCCCGGGACAGTAAGAAACTACAGAAGATGGTGTGCGTAGCCTAGGCCATCACGGAAGCCAACCTTCCATCCAAGGACTCTATTTACATGACCCGCTGTTGCGGAAAGGCAGCCAACGTCATCAGAGACCCATTGACCCTGATAATGACCTCCTACAACCTCTTCCATCAGACAGAAGATACAGAAGCCTGGACACTCAAGCAGTTTCACAAACAGCTCCTTTCTGGCCATTATCAGATTGTTGAATGGACTGTAGCCTCAAATAATGTAACCTTCAATGTAACCAGTATGCTTCTAAGTCTTTTTGATCAGTACATTGATTTTCACTGTATTTTGGTACACATGACAATAAAATCAAAATCGGTGGTGTAGTGGGCAGTGAAGAAGGTTATCTCGGAGTACATTGGAACTTTGATCAGCTCGGCCAATGAGCCGAGGAGTGGCCAATGGTGTTTAATTTAGATAAATGTGAGATATTGCATTTTGGTCAGACAACCAGGGCAGAACTAATACAGCAAACTTTAGGGCCCTGGAGAGTGTTGCTGAACAAAAGAGACCTAGGCATGCAGGTGCATATTTCCTTGAAAAATGGAGTTACAAGTAGACAGGGTGGTGATGAAGGCGTTTGGCATGCTTACCATCATTGATCAGTGCATTCAGTACAGGAGTTGGGACATCATATTGCAACTGTACAGGGCATTGGTTAGGGCTCTTTTGAAATACTGTATTCAGTTCTGGTCTCCCCGATAGGAAAGGTATTGTTAAACTTCAGAAAATATTTACAAGGGTGTTGCCAGGATTGGAGGGTTTGAGCTATTGGGTGAGGCTGAATAGGCTGGGCTTTTTCCCCCGGAGCGTCGGTGGCTGAGGGGTGACCTTATAGAGGTTTATAAAATCATGAGGGGCATGGATAGAGTGAATAGCCAAGGTCTTTTTTCCAGGGTGTCCAAAACTGGAGGACATCATTTTAAGGTGAGAGGGAAAAGATTTAAAAAGGACCTGAGGGGCAATTTTTTCATGCAGAGTGTGTTGCTTGTATGGAACGAGCTGTAGGAGGAAGTGGCAGAGGCGGGTACAATTACAAAATTTAAAAGACATCTAGATGGGTACATGAATAGGAAGGGTTTTAGGGATATGGGCCAAATGCCGGCAAATGGGATTAGATCAGTTTAGGCTATGTGGTCAGTATGGATGAGTTGGACTGACGAGTCTGTTTCCATGCTGCGTGACTCCGTAAGTAGTTTTAACAGTAAGCTGTGCATATTCCTTAATTGGTTATGTAGGTTTCCTTCAGCTGGAAAAGCATTAAGAAAGGTATACTGTCTAATTATATGTATGTGTGTGTCTGTGTTGTATCTTTTAGAATATCTTCCAAAGATTTCTACAATATTATGTTTCGAGTGTTTTGTTATGTATTAAAGGAATTAATTTTTTTGATCTATTTCACCTGAGTCATGAAGCATCTTCTACGTATTGATTTGACTAGTTAATTCCCTGCATAAATTACATTTTTATTATGTTAAACTACTCATGGCCCGTGTACTTTTTTTTCCTATCTGAACTTCAATATGCATCACTGTGCCAGTGTTAAATTATTGATGAGGTTACACTGTGTCATAAATAGCAATGATGGAATTTCTGCATGCAGTAAACACAACTTAAGTAGTGCTTTTAGATAGATATAAGGTAGTTTAATAAAAAGGTTGAATAGCTCCCATGAGTGCAAATAATGTTTGACAGACTTTCTGTAGTTTTTTTGAGGAGTGTAATAGAGAAGGGAGAACCAGTGGCAGTGGTATATTTGGATTTTAAGAATGTGTTCCATAAAAGGTTTGTGTGAAATATTTAAGCACATGGAATTGGGGTAATATATCGACATGGATTGAGAATTGTCAGCTGGCAGGAAATTATGGGCTGGATTTTCCAAGAAGTGGTCCATGCTGTATGACTCTGACTCTGACAATCTTATGTCAATCTGGCCCCTTTTTTAACATTGCTGAGAGGAGATTCCACTCGGAACTCCATGAGAAATATAGAGCTGTGTTTCCATCCTGTCAGTTCTTTCATAGCACAGAACTGTCAAAGAAAGTCAGACAATACCCGTTTTACAGAATTCACCTGCTGGGTCAGGTCCATTGGGAAGGGGTTTCAGGTTGAATCTAACGGAACCGGGGGTTTGGATCAGGACTGGGAGGTCCATTTAACTTCTTACGAGTAACTATTTTACTTAATTTCATTGAAGCCTCCAATTTAACTGGTGACTTTGGAGTGTTCCAGGCCTAGAGGAATTGACAGGTGGATAATTTAATTTCTGGGCAATTCCTTTGGTGTACTAAGAACCACAGATGCTGCCAGACCTGCTGAGCTTCTCCAGAAATTTCTGTTTTTGTTTGTTCTTTAGTTTGCTCACAGTTCTTTGTTCTATTTTAGGGCAAATAACATGTTGGCCTCCATAGTGACAGTCTAAAGCTGGAATATTCAGTGCAGTTTTGTTTCCTTTTCTGAGAAGGATGTTCTGCCAATGGAAGCAGTGCACAATGACTTACCAGACTGACTCTTGCGATAGTAAGACTGACATATGAAGAGAG